CCCCCCCGCTGTCCCCACCTTGCCGAAGACGGTGTTGAGGAAGGGGGAGTAGGTCTTGGTGGCCGCGGCGTGGGGGTCCCCCGAGCCCTTCTTCCCGCTCTTCTGCCCGTGGCCGCCGTGCCGGGACTCGGAGCCGGAATTCTTGTGGGCGGGGGGCTCCTCGGGGGCTTTGGGGGGTTTCTCCCCCGCCTCGCCCCCCCCTTTCCCCTTCTGCGGGGGCTCCGTGTCCTTGGGGGTCCCCTTGTCCCCGCGGGTGCGTGGCATGTGGCCGGGGCCGGGTGGGCAGCAGGGAGCGGGACCCCGGGATGGACGAGCCGGAGGAAGGAGTCGGGAAATCCTCTTACACGCCCCCCCTCCCCCGTGACCCCCACCCCCCTTCCCCCCCTCCCCCGTGGGCTCCCGGGCCCTGCAGGGCAAAGCCAATTAGCGGTGATTAACGGCAGGAAACTGCCACGGCCGCCACCGGCCCGGGGCAGGGCCACATGGCCACCGCGCCGCGGCCACCAGAGGGGTCCCCACGCACGTCCTGGGGTCGCCCACAGAGGACATTGCGTGGGGAGCCCAGTGGTGACACCCCAGGGCCACCACAGCGTCCCCAGTACCAACCCACCTCCGTGGTGGTGACCCCCCAAGGCCACCACAGTGTCCCCAACACTGACCCCCCAAGGCCACCTCAGTGTCCCCAGCACTGACTTCCCAAGGCCACTGCAGTGTCCTCAGACCAACCCACACCCCCAGTGGCGACACCCCAAGGTCACTCCACCCGTGTCCCCTCACCTGGCGCCTCTCCCTCAGCTCTGCCCACCCCTAAGGTAGGTCCTACATTATTTACCACCCTGTGCCACCCGCCACTGTCACCCCCGTGCCACCCACTGGCGCTGTCCATGGGGACCGTCCCCCACGGGTGACCCTGTCCCACGGGTAACCTTGTCCACGAGGAATGTACCCTATGGGTGACCCTGTGCAGGGGGACCCTGTCCCATGGGGTGATCCTGTCTATGAGGTGACCCTGTCCTACAGGTGATTCTGTCCATGGGGTGACCCTGTCCCACAGGTGACACTGTCCATAGGATGACCCTGTCCCATGGGGTGATCCTGTCCATGGTGTGACCGTGTCCATGGGGTGACCGTGTCCCACGGGTGACCCTGTCCATAGGGTGACCCTGTCCCACTAGTGACCCTGTCCATGGGGTGACCCTGACCATGGGGTGATCCTGTCCATGGGGTGATCCTGTCCATGGGGTGACCGTGTCCGTGGGGTGACTGTCCCACGAGTGACCCTGTCCCATGGGGTGACTGTCACACGGGTGACCGTGTCCCCGGGGTGACTGTCCCACGGGTGACCCTATCCCACGGGGTTCCTGTCTCACGGTGCCCGCTCAGCGCTGTCCCTGGGTGACTGTCCCACGGGTGCCCCGCTCAGCGCTGTCCCCGGGGTTCCTGTCCCACGGGTGACCCTGTCCCCGGGGTTCCTGTCCCACGGGTGACCCTGTCCCTGGGGTTCCTGTCCCACGGGTGCCCGCTCAGCGCTGTCCCTGCCCGCGGTGTCCCCCCCCCAGTCCCGGTGGCCCCGCCGGGTCCCGCCCCCCCCCCCCCCCCCCCCAGCGCCCACGCGCGGGGGCCCCCCCCCCCACCGCCGCCACCCCCGCCCCCGACCCGGCCCGGCACCGGCACCGGCACCGGGCACCCCCGGGCACCCCCGGGCACCCCCCGGGCACCGACCCGCCGGTGAGTGCGGCACCGACCCCCGCGGTGCCCCCCGTCCGCCTTCCTGGGGGGAAGGCCAGCCCCGTCCCTGTCCCCGTTCCCGGCGGGGCCACCTCCTGTCCCTGTCCCCATCCCTGTCCCCATCCCCATCCCTGTCCCCATCCTTGCCCCTGAACCCGTCCCTGTGCCCACGCCCAGCGGGGCCACCCCTTGCCCACGTCCCCGACCCCGTCCCCATCCCTGTCCGTGTCTCTATCCCTGCCCCGTCCCCATTCCTGCCCCCGTACCGAGCAGGGCCACCACCAGCCCTGTATCCCTGTCCTTGTCCCTGTCCCCATTCGTGTGCCCCATCACTGTCCCCATACCAAACGAGGCCATGCTCATTCCTGGCCACTCCCCCGTCCCTATCCCTGTCCCCATCACTGTCCTCACACCCAGCAAGGCCACCCCTGTCACCATCCCTGCCCTCTTCTTGTCCCTGTCCCTATCTCTGACCCCATCCCTGACTCCTTATCCCACAGGGTCACCCTGTATGTCCCTATATAGCCAGCCAGGACCACCCCTGTCCCCATCCCACCCCTGTCCCCATCCCATCCCTGTCCCCATCCCACCCCTGTCCCCTGACCCACTGGGCTGTCCCTGTCCCCCTTTCTCTCCCCACCCCTCTACGCAGGGGGACATCCTCGTCCCTATGCCTGTCCCCATCCCGGGTGGGACATTCCCTGTCCCCCTCAGAGCCCCCATTCCGGGGGTGCCCCCTGAGCCCTCCCCCAGGGGGCCGGGCAGGGAGGTGGGTGTGTGGGGTGTGTGTCCCCATTCCCGGTTCTGGGAGCGGCTGAGCCGCCCTTTACCCGGGGCAGAGGACAGCGACAAGCCCGGAGCAGGGGCCACTTCCCCGGTGGCCCTGCCCCCTTGTTTTGGGGTGTCCCCACGTGCCTGAGCGCGGCCCCGGGGGTGCCTCCCCAGCCATGTCGTTCCGGAAGGTGGTGCGGCAGAGCAAATTCCGGCACGTGTTCGGGCAGCCGGTGAAGACGGAGCAGTGCTACGATGACATCCGCGTGTCCCGCGTCACCTGGGACAGCACCTTCTGCGCCGTCAACCCCTCCTTCGTCGCCATCATCGTGGAGGCCAGCGGCGGCGGCGCCTTCCTCGTCCTCCCCCTGCACAAGGTGACGCCCGGGGGAGGTGCGGCTGGGGCACCGGGGGGTGGTCTGTGCCGGCGGGTGACACCCCTCGATGTCCCTTCGCCCCCAGACCGGCCGCATCGACAAGTCGTACCCCACCGTGTGCGGCCACACGGGCCCCGTCCTCGACATCGACTGGTGTCCCCACAACGACCACGTCATCGCCAGCGGCTCCGAGGACTGCACCGTCATGGTGAGGGGGTGCCGGGGGCACCCGGGGGGGCGGCCCTGTGCCCGCCCCTGCTTCGCTCAGTGTGCCCCGCGTCCCCTCAGGTGTGGCAGATCCCGGAGAACGGGCTGAGCCAGCCGCTGACGGAGCCGGTGGTGGTCCTGGAGGGCCACTCCAAGCGCGTCGGCATCGTCACCTGGCACCCCACGGCCCGCAACGTGCTGCTCAGCGCAGGTACGGGGGGGCCACGGCAGGGTCGCGGGGGTGGAGGGGGGTCACACGGCCCGGGCGACCCCCGTGGTGCCCCCCAGGCTGTGACAACGTGGTGCTGATCTGGAACGTGGGCACGGCGGAGGAGCTGTACCGGCTGGAGGGGCTGCACCCCGACCTCATCTACAGCGTCAGCTGGAGCCGCGACGGCTCCCGCTTCTGCACCGCCTGCAAGGACAAGAGCGTCCGTGTCATCGACCCCCGCCGCGGCACCGTGGTGGCTGTGAGTGTCCCCACCCCCCCGGGGCACCGTCACCCTGCCCGTGTCACCCCGTCCCGCACTGGTTCCTGGGGGACAATCCCCTGCCCGCTGCCCGTGCCCTCTGGGGTGCTCTGCTGTCCCTTGGGTGCCCCTGCACCTTGCCCTTGTCCCACGGTGCTCCCCTTTGTCCCGTGTCTCTTGGGTGCCCTTGTCTCCTGGTTCCCCTCTGTCCCTTTGGGGCACCTGTCCCTTGGTGCTTCTCACTGTCCCGTGTCCCTTGGGTGCTGTTGTCCCCTGCTTCCTAACTTTTCCCTGCTGCCCCCTATCCTTGTCTCCTGGTGCTCCCTCTTGTTCCCTGGGCCTTGCCTTTGTCCCCTGCTGCTCCCTGCCCTTGTCTCCTGCTGCTCCCCACTGTCCCCTGTCCCTTGGGTGACCCTGTGCCCTGCTCCCTGCCCTTGTGCCCTCATGTTCCTTGCTATCCCCAGCTCCCTGCCCTTGTCCCCTGCTGTTCCCCACTGTCCCCTGTGCCATAGTTACCCCGTCCCCTGCTCCCTGCCCTTGTCCCCTGCTGTTCCCCACTGTCCCCTGTGCCATGGTTTCCCCCATCTCCTGCTCCCTGCCCTTGTCCCCTGCTGTTCCCCACCGTTCTGTGTCCCTCGGGTGCTCCTGTCCCCTGTCCTTGTCCCCCGGTGCTCCTCGCTGTCCCTTGTTCCTTTGTCCCTTGCTGCTCCCCAATGTCCCGTGGGACACACCCCGTCCCCCGCCGTCCCCCGCCCCTCAGCCCCCCTGTCCCCCTCTCCCTGCCCCGGCCGTGGTGCCGTGGCCCCGCTGACGGCCCCGTTGTCCCCCAGGAGAAGGAGCGGGCGCACGAGGGGGCGCGTCCCATGCGCGCCATCTTCCTGGCCGACGGCAAGATCTTCACCACCGGCTTCAGCCGCATGAGCGAGCGGCAGCTGGCACTGTGGGACATGGTGAGCGGCACCCCGGGGGTCCCACGGGACCGCTGCGGGGGTCCCCACGTGCCTCACACCCCCCCGCCCCGCCCCAGGAGAACCTGGAGGAGCCCATGGGGCTGCAGGAGCTGGACTCCAGCAATGGGGCTCTGCTGCCCTTCTACGACCCCGACACCAACGTGGTCTACGTGTGCGGCAAGGTACCGTGACCCCCCCCGCCCTGCTGGGGGCCCCCCCCCCAGAGCACGGGGATCCCCCCTGACGGCGTGTCCCCAGGGGGATTCGAGCATCCGCTACTTCGAGATCACGGAGGAGCCGCCCTACATCCACTTCCTCAACACCTTCACCAGCAAGGAGCCCCAGCGCGGGATGGGCTGGATGCCCAAGCGTGGGCTGGATGTCAGCAAGTGTGAGATCGCCAGGTGGGCGTGGGGGACGTGGGGGACGAGGTGAGGGACCCCCCACCCCCGGTGCCCCCCAGGCTCCCCCCTGAGACCCCCCCTCCTGTGCCCCCCCGGCAGGTTCTACAAGCTGCACGAGCGCAAGTGTGAGCCCATCATCATGACGGTGCCAAGGAAGGTCTGTGGGGACGGGGGGCTCTGGGCAGGGGGAGGTGGGTGGGTGGTGGTCCCTGGTGGGGAGAGGCCTTATGGGGGTTGTGTGGGGTCCCTGGGCAGGAAAGGGGGATTGGATGGGGGGGTCCC